TGGAGAACATTAAGTTGGCCAGATGGTCGTTCACCAGCATTTTGTCGTTGGATAGCGAACGGACCTTCAGGGCACCCTTGATGCGGGAGGTTGCCTTCCGTTTTTTTTTTTTTAGTGCTACTGTCCATGACGTTGATTTCCTGTGTCAAACAGTCCTGTTGGTGCATCCGTACTGATATGCATTAGATAATGCTGGTAAAATGTAAAGTATGCGTTATGTTTTGTTTTGTAATAGGGATCGTGGCGTCATTTTCCAGTAATTGAGGCCAATTGATTTTTTTTTTGCAAAAGCGTCGCTTTGAAACGATTAAGGCTTTTTTTTATTTTGTGGCGTCGTTTTGCAACGATTGAGGCAGATTTAGCAGTTTATTTATTTTAGTTTTTTTCGTGGTGGCATCGTTTTGAAACGATTTTAACAGATTTTGTGTTTTCTGTAATGGCGTCGTTTTGAAACGATTGAGGCATATTTAGCATTTTGTTTAGGCATTGGCATCGTTTTGAAACGATTTAGGCAGATTTTGCGTTTTCTGTAATGGCGTCGTTTTGAAACGATTAAGGCAGGCTCGGTAGTTTTTTTTTTCGCAATGGCGTCGTCGTGAGACGAATAAGGCAGATTTGGCGTCGTTTATAAACGAATCAACCGGATCTAGCAGTTTCCATTTTTTTTGCGGTGCGTGAAGGCTACGGTTATTCTAAACCGATTGATATTAGCGTGGCCTCTTTATGATAGAAAACCAAATGAGCTTATGGAAGATTCCATATGGCTTAGTTAAATCTGGCAGGATCGCCAATGTGCAACTTACCTTGTGAAGAGCTGGTCCGAAAGTGAGTGGAGAGTTGCCCGTGTGTGTTTATGAAGCGTTGCCATAGATACCTCTGTTTCAGTGGCGTCGCGTAACCTCACTTTTTACCTGTTCAACGACTTTGAAAACGTTATTTAGAGTCATGCTTACATTAAAATCAGTTTCAAAAGGCACAGGATCTTCTAGTTTCACTGATTTGTATCCATTGGAAGCCATTTCTTTTAAATTTTTTAAGTTTTGAGAGTTGTTGAACAGGTAGATTGAGGTTAGGGCGACGCCACTGCTCTGTTTACCAGCATTGAACTGCTGCGCTTACAACGGAGGGCTGCACACATGGCTTGCTGACTCGTTAAGCGTCAAGTTAAGACCTGCTTACACTAGCGCTAATATATGCCACACAATTACCATACATTTAGGAATGCTGAGGGTAAGCTTATTCCGACGACACCAATCAACGAACAGATCCAATACCGATTGAAGACGAATGCAATCCTCAGCAGTCCGCGCCACGAAGTACAGCTTTAGGTCATCGGCATACGCAAGCTTACAGCCATCTCCAAGTAGAAGAAGTGCGTCGTTGATGTACAACACGAACAGCAACGGGCCAAGATTGCTACCCTGTGGTACACCTGACGAGTTCGTGAAATACATTATTGATTGGATTGCAAATTATTTCTTGGGACATTTCAAACGTTACTGGAAGGTGATCAGAACCGAAGTCAGCATGGGTAACCAATTGGCTACAAAGTTGACATGAATCAGTTAAGACTAAATCAATAGTGGAGGGATTTCTTGCAGAAGAAAAGCATGTTGGGCGGTTTGGATATTGAATGATGTATTAACCTGCAGAACAATCATCAAACAGAATATTACCATTGGAATTGCTTTGAGCATTATTCCATGAGCGGTGTTTTGCATTAAAATCACCAATAATGAAGAATTTAGACCTATGACGGGTAAGTTTCTGAAGGTCACCCTTGAGAAAATTCTTTTGCTGGCCTACGCATTGGAATGGCAAATAGGCAGCTATAAACGTAAGTTGTCCCAATTTTGTTTCAACAGAAACTCCGAAAGTTTCAAAAAGTTTGGTTTCAAGTGAAGAAAGAATTTTATGTTGATGATGGCAATGCCACCATCGAGACGATCATTTCTATAAATGAAATAATTTGCGTCCTTATTAGCCTTATGGTCAGGTTTAAGGAACGTTTCATTTATAATGGCAATATGCACATTATGAACTCTCAAAAAGTTAAATAGCTTGTCTTCATTATCTTTAAGAGATCGAGCATTCCAATTTAAAATATTTAATGATTTAAAATCCATTACTGAATTTCAAAGTCATGGCAATATTATTCGCAAATTTTACTCCAGTTTGAAAAGCATCAAACATGGAGTTAGTTTAAGCATATCAGTAATCATATCAATTAATAATTTCTGTAAAAATTCCATTTTAGGGGCAGTAATGCTTCCTAAGTCAAAATTGTCAAAATTGCCGTTAGAATTACGTTGGTTAGTATATTGATTTCTACCCGCTGCAATAGCAGCATAGGTAGCTCCATTGACTCGCTGAACATTGTTAGCAGTGAGGGGAGTAGGTATAGATGAAGAATTTGAAGCAGGGTTGATATTTGTACCTACGGGTACGACTGTAGAATTTGTTCCTCGCTGACCTTTGTTAACAGCAGAGTAATTTGTACGTGTTCGGAAACGTGGAGCGTTTCCTACCTGTCACTTACAACGAGATTGTAGGATCGCTTTGCGAGTCTAACCATCCCAAAAATTAGATTTGTGGTTTTCACCATAATTTGAACATTTAAATTTCTTAGGATCTTCCTTCACAGGACAGTCGTCCCTTGCGTGAGAGGAATCACAACAATTCATGCATTTAGCTGGCATGTAGCAATTTTTAGTTCCGTGACCCCATCCCTGGCACTTACGGCACTGGCTGAGGTTTTGGAAATTTCCTCCAGTCTTCCTGAAGTGTTCCCACTTCACTCGAGCATGGAGCATAAGGCTAGCTTTTTCTAAGGCCTTAAGGTTGTTTAGTTCACTTCGCGAAGTGAACTAAATAAAATTCATTAGAAATCCCGTTGCGCGAATCGCCAGGACGGGATTTCATTTTCATTTTGATTACTTGGAGTGGCACAACTCCAAGTAATTTTGCCAGTTCATCTTTGATCTGATCCAGGGATTCACCACTGGGCAGTCCTTTCATGACAACCTTGAACACACGTTCAGTTTTGGTGTCGTAAGTAAAAAATTTGTGCTTCTTCTCAGTAAGATACTTGAGAAGACATTTAAATCCGTCCAAGGTTTCAGCCAATACACGGCATTCACCCCGACGTCCAATTTGTAGTGAAAACTTAACTTTCACGAAATTCAAAAGTTCCATGCGAAGAGCATGGAAATCGGTAGTGGTTATCACAATAGGGGGAATCTTTTCCTTCTTAGCATTAAGCCGGGAAAGTTTACTAGAATTTTTCTTGGACGATGGATCATTCTCATCATCCGTGAGCAAATCAAATTGATTGATCAAATTAATTTCAACAGAAAGGGGATCAAGAGTTTGCCCTTTTCTTTTGCGCTTAGGCGCCATGGCGGCAGTAAATTTTTATCCAAATCGACTTCCAAGCAGATTACTATAAGAATCTGAAGGATCGAAGAGGAATTTTCCAAATCGATATCCAAGAAGGATTACCTCGGGTAGGGTCCAAACAAGGATCGAAGAGGAATAAGAGTTGAACAAGGTAGAAAATTTTTACAGGTTGAGCACTGAAAAATGCTGTTTAAATTTGTTGTAGCTTTAGGTAGTAGTAACACTTCCTTCAGCAAAAAGCAAATAGATCCGCACGGCAAGAGAGCACGATGCGGACTGAGACGATGAATCTTTAATGTATATTTTTACACTACTCTCATTTATTCTGTTTTATTATGTAAATTTAAGATTTGTGAAAAAAATAGAATATTTACGTTCCGGCAACTGTCATTCCGGGAAACGGTTTTCCGGGATATGACGGACAATCCATCGAATTAAACTATGCGGTTTCTCAAAGGAAAGATTCAATTGTTTGAGCTCTCTTCCCTGAATGCGGATTTGAGAATTTTAGTCACTAGTAAGATCTCTCCATAGGTGGATATATTCAGGTTTTTTAAACTGAAAAATAATAATCGTACAACCGGGAAACATCGAAAATTTTAAACACCAATTCATTTGCCACCTTGTCTAGAGCAATCATTCAAAAACAAAATTAAACTGAATTATCTCACTATCGCAAATTTACCAACATGCTCCAAATGTTCACCTCGGCATGACCGAATCGAGCTCGAATCGTCTTCAGCAGTGTGTCGCTATGACGGCCGATTTTCCCGACCACAGACACTATTTGACCGCATTTCACTCTCTATTTCCAACGACCATTCGCGTGCTCGCGCTCATGAAGACAGTAGACACTAAATACAAACATAAATAGTAGCATAGGCACGGACGACAGCCGAAAGATCAAAAATAATAGCACTATTGCAATTCGGTGTACAGATCGGTTCACGTTTACTAGCCCAGCAGCAACAGCGCGCCAGTGTAGTGTTGCTCAATTGAGGGACCGTCAACCTCGAAACCGCGCGTTCGAGTTTTGTAATCGGTTCTGGGGGAGAAACGTTAATGTTAATGTGGACAGCACGATAGGTAATTCGAACTATCCATTTTGCTTTACCAAATCAGTTCCTGGACCTTGTTAGCTTATTTGGTTGCAAACTGATTTCGTGGTGATCATTTGAATATCGTATTGATTAGGTACTACAAGGGTAGGTCAACTAAATTCTCTTTGTTGCTGGAAACACCCAAGCATTTTTTACTCCAAAGCAATTTGGGTGCAGAGTAGACCCACTCACACAGCATTAAACTAAGTTGAATATGGGTCGACGTTCTTATTTTTAATACCAGCATTTGACAAGGCCATCGTCCTACAAATCGCGAGATCTGTCCTACGCACGATTCTATCGCCATTGTTGTCGTGTGATTGGAAATTACTTTTGATAAGCATCATACACAATTAACTACCCTGACGCATGCAAACTCCAACGGCGTATCGTGACATGCTTCAATTTGAATTCACCTTACATAACTTGTTGTGACTGCAGCAACCCCGCGAAGAGGCTATTGTTACAGTTTTCCTTCTATTCGTGTGTTCCACTACGTAGCCGTTCGAGATCGAGACACGGATATTGAGAGGGAAAGCAACGGCAGCAACGCAAGGCGAATAAAAGCAAAACCATGCCAGCTGATGCATTTTCAAGGTAATCCCGCACCACTGCAGCTGTGCGCTGGTGTGTGGTCTATTTTTAAGTTTGATTCGAAGTCGTAGAATTAATAACGGGAACGTGTGCAATAGGCAACACGGCAACTTGTTACATGACCCGCTATAGTGATTTCATCTCCGTGCCCTTGGAAGATCATGTTTCCTTCGACTGGTCGTCACTTATTTGCTTGATTGATTGAGTTTCTAACGAGTTGAAATTTTCCCAATTTTAGAATGGATTCGTCCGGATCCGCGGCCGAAGCGGCCTCGTCCAGCGAGGCGAAGGACATTCCTGCCAATATTGAAGCTGCCATCCTGAGGGCACGAACTGAGAGTGAAGGATCCGATAAGTAAGTGCACTGCTACTTTGCTTCTGTTCAATTGATTACATCCGCAACATTTTCTTCTAGGTCCGGTCCCACTCGCTTCGTTCTCCCGGGAACTTCCGGTAGTCCGCCGAAGATCCTCACCTTGGATGAAGTTCAGGACGCCGTTAAGAACATCGAAAACATGACTTTGGCTCACGAAATCGCCGTCAACAGTGACTTCAAACTGCAACCGTACGAGCCTCCGGAGAACTCCCTGGAACGAATCATCAAAGACACCATGCACAAAGCGTACTGGGAGATTCTGCGGGAGCAACTGGAACGTCAACCACCGTGCTACGATATGGCCATCCAGCTGTTGGCGGACGTTAAGGATGCCTTCCAAAGTGTGCTGAGCAAAAACAACGAACGTGCCCTTACCAGGATCAACGAGATCCTCGATGAAACTGTAATACGGCAGCAGGCCGAGCAAGGCGTACTGGATTTCCAGGTCTACGCCAAATTTGTGATTCACATCATGGCCCTGTCATGTGCTCCGGTTCGAGATGAACAGATTGCCAAACTAAAAGACATTCAAGATGTAGTGGAACTGTTCCGTGGCATTTTGGAAGCCTTGCAACTGCTAAAGTTGGACATGGCCAACTGTCTGCTAGATGCCGCTAGGAACGACGTGATTGCAAACTCCGTCGAGTACGAAAAGCAAAAGTTTAAGCAATTCCTCGAACTCTACAAGGATGGCTTCCCGGAGACGGAAAAATGGCTCAAACGTAACAAAGTGCCCGAAAATACTGCCCAGCCAGGGCCAGCGGCGGCTGATCCGTCGACAACTGGTAGCGACAATCAGCAGCGTCGTTCAAAAGACACAATCTTCAATGCGTACTTGGAGCTTATCGATTGGAACACAGAGAACGAGTTCCCGGAAATGCTGGAAATGGACCGGGATCGTGTGATCGGTCTACAAGGACGTGCCTCTCGTTTGTGCACCTGCGCTTCTACGCTTGCCATCACTTGTGCTGCCATTCCGTCAATCGCTCAAGTAGCAGATCTACGTAAGAACCTCGCCAAGGAGCTGGTCATTCTGCTTCAAAATTGCAACAACACCAAAGACCTGGATGACAACATCGAGAACATTTGGCTGCACGTTCGATCTGTGATCGCAGCGCGATTGCAGGAAACCAACCAACCCAAACTGGACGAAGCCGTAGAGAGTACGCTAAAGACTCAGATTCTTCAAATAGCTAAGAAGGAATCTCCGGTTCGGAATCTGATGTGGAAACGTTTACTGGCGTACATTCAGCTGGTGCTTAGGACGAATAGTTCCATTCCGGTGCCTCCCGGATTCCAGGAATTTGCGGACGATGTGGAAGGCCTAGCCACGGCATTCAAACGTATTTCCTACTACAACTATGCAGTTTACGGAGAGTATTTTCACGAGATTTTGAACAAGATATAAACTGGGTTCGGGAATATAATCATCTCGAATGTAGGATCTTCCATGTGCAGTTATCATCATTTACATCGCAGTGTGTAATTTTCGTGTATTTCCATTCGAACGTTATAATTTAGAACATTTTTGTTCAGTAAACATAATATATCACTACAATCTTGTTTACGACATTTTCCTTCGTATTGGATGAGCAATTTGTGAGTTCGGCATGTGATAGTTCAATAGGATTTGATAGAGATAGTGACGGAACATTGATCGACTAAAGTAATCCTTATTACGGTACTAGCTAGGTTAGCAGTAGAATAATGCTATTTCGTGTGCTGTAGTTCGTACTAACACTTACATCTCGATCAACAATTGAAAAGCGCCTATCAGCTTTTGTAAACAAAGCTTTGTAAGCCCTTTCCTCGCAAATCAATGACATCACAGTGAAGGGGAAAGTTTCCCCCACCGATTGATGCTGTTGGCTTGCGTGAGCGGCCTACGCTTTGCAAGGAAAGGGCTTTCAAAGTTTTGTTCACAAAAGCTGATAGGCCCTTTTCGATTGTTGGTCGAAAAATTACCTACACACATACAATTGTAGAATACTGCTACTGCAGCTCAACTAATCCAGAATACGATAGCCGCCTTCATCCATCGTATAATAATACTACAGATAACAATTCTTTAAGAAGACTTATTCAACAAAATGTAAAGTATATAAATACGTGTATAAATAAATTTTACGAATGATTTATTAAAGAAACAATCTACATATAATAAAGGTGTGTCAGTTCGTACAGAGTTGGAAAGAAAAATCTTTGACTACTATCTTACTTGGCAGCTCGTTGCCACACGTTCATTGCATCGCAATGTTGCCTTTATATCCGCAGGTTACTTCAACACTACTTATCGTCACAGTCAAGCAGTCTGCATGTATTGCTAGAACGATGGTGGGATGAATTTCAACATCGATGATTATTGCTTAGCGGTTTCGGATCGTTGCTTCGACGTCCTCGCTCTCACTGAGACTTGACTCGATACTCGCACATTGTCAAATCAAGTGTTTGGTTCCGAATACGAGGTTTTTCGATGTGATCGGAATCCGCACAACAGCCGCAAATCTACTGGTGGAGGCGTTCTCATAGCGGTCGGCTCTGGATTGAACGCAAAAGTTATCGAAAACGATTCACGGAATTGTGTGGAACAAGTTTGGATTGCCATTAAGCTCGCTGACCACATTTTGTTTTTGTGTATTGTTTACTTTCCTCCGGATCGAACTCGCGACTCTACGCTAATTGAATCCCACAGTCAGTCTATTCGAGCTATAATGGAGATCGCTACAGCTGCTGACGAGATGATAATCACTGGCGACTTCAATCTACCGGCAATTTCTTGGCGATCATCTTACGGTGGATTCCTGTATCCGGACCACGACCGTTCTACATTTCACTCTGGAGCTGTAAGCCTTTTGGATCATTACAGTATCGCCACTCTGAAGCAAATCAACCACGTGATTAATGAGAACAATCGTAGCTCAGACCTTTGCTTCGTCACCGCTCAGGATACTGCTCCGCATTTGTCTATGGCTGTTTCTCCGTTGATAAAGACTGTTCCACATCATCCTCCTTTAGTAATTGCACTTGGAGGCAACCAAATTCCAACCAAAAAGCATTCGAGCATCCTGCAAATATTGTGGTCGACCTCCCGGACCAGAACAACAATGCCCAGCTTGGGACAAAACTTGTGGCAATTGTGGCATGAGAGGACATTTTCGCATCGCTTGTTTCAGTCGCACTGGTAGAGGGCCCAGGAACCCCACGTCGTCATCAAACCCTCACCATTCACTGAAGAAACGTTATGAACAAGCATTCCCTATGGCTGGAAGCTCTTCTGGTAGATCGACACTGAACAAGACAATGAAATATACACGAAGGCTGCATGCCATTGACGACGCTGAAGTTGAAAATGAAGCGGTTGAATTAGTTGAGATGGTATCATCCGTTCATGATTCGGAAGAACTGGTATGGGCCAATGTGGGTGGAGTGCTAATAATTGAAATGCAGATCGATTCAGGGGTGCAGTCAAATATAATTGACGACAACACTTGGGAAGTAATGATCCGTAATGGAGTGCAGACCGTGGGTGGCATTCAACAGTCAGATCGCAAATTCAAAGCATACGCGCAGAAAGATTGTCTGGCAGTAACCAACATGTTTGATGCGGAAATCTCCATCAGCGATGGGCCAAAGCAGCTGAATACTGTAGCACGTTTCTACGTCGCAAAGGATGGTCCTCAAGAACACGGCAAAGCTGTTGGGGGTTTTAATTGTCGGGCTTCCAAGTAGACAAGAAGCAGTTCAACATGTAGATGTTTCCAGACCGTTTCCTAGCATTCGGGGTGTGAAAATACATATTCCGGTCGACAAGTCAGTGGAGCCCGTAGCGCAACGATTTCGACGATTGCCGTTTTCAACACTACAGCGTGTAGATGAAAAGTTAAAGGAGCTGCTGAGTAAGGATGTTATTGAACGCGTTTCGGAGCCTAGCCGATGGGTTTCACCAATGGTTGTTGTTGTCAAGGACAATGGAGATATACGATTGTGCATCGACATGCGGAAAGTAAACAAGGCCATCCTACGCGAAACTCATCCTCTTCCCACTATTGAAGATATCCGTTGGAAGCTGAATGGTGCGATTTTCTTCTCGAGACTGGACATAAAGGACGCGTTCTACCAGCTCGAATTGGACGACGAAAGTAAACCACTGACGACGTTTATTACTCACAAAGGTAAAATGCGATTTTTAATATGATTACACATTTGGTCTCCCAAACTCGTATTATTTTACACTTTGTAATTACAAGATTTTATTGGTAATTGGGGTATTGTGTTTAATTTACTTGTGTCCAAGGTTTATTCAGATATAAAAGGCTGGTCTTTGGAATATCGTGTGCTCCGGAGATGTTTCAAAAGGTCATTGAACAAATGGACTGTGAGAACGTCATTAACTTCATTGATGACATAATCGTTGCCGGAAAGACGGAGCAAGAGCATGATGCATCACTTCGGCAAGTTTTGGTTAAACTACGATCGTATGGCGTTCTCTTAAATCAGTCGAAATGCGTTTTTAAGTTGACTGAAATTGATTTCCTCGGCCATCATTTTGATGAAAACGGCATGACGCCATCACAAGACAAAATTAAAGCGATCAAAAGCTTTAGAACTCCAGTCAATTCTGAAGAAGTACGCAGCTTTTTAGGTCTGGTCAATTGTGTCGGAGCCTTCATTCCGGATCTGGCCACCAGGTCTTTTCCACTTCGGGAGCTTACTAAGAGTAAAGTGGAATTTAAATGGGGGGTCGAAGAACAGGCGGCGTTTGATCATCTCATACAAGCAATTGGGAAAATAGATAGTTTGTCTCATTTCAATCCCAAACTGAAGACGAGAGTTGTTGCGGATGCTTCCCCAGTCGGGTTAGGGGCAGTTCTTCTTTAGTTTTATGAAGGAGAACCAAGAGTTGTATCTTACGCTAGTAAAAGCCTCACTGACACAGAACGCCGATATGCCCAGACAGAGAAAGAGGCTCTAGCGTTGGTGTGGGCGGTCGAAAGATTTCAAATCTACCTAATAGGGATTCGCTTCGAGCTAGAAACTGACCATAAGCCTCTAGAAGCGATTTTCTCTCCTGATTCATCGCCGTGTCTCCGTATTGAACGTTGGGTTCTGAGACTCCAATCATTCAGTTATGAGGTTGTTTATCGCAAAGGTAAATCCAACATTGCGGACCCCTTGTCACGCCTTTCGCAACCGTCAGAAATTGAACCATTTGATCCGGATTCAGAGGTGTACGTTCGCAATGTTTTAGAATTGGCTGCTGTTGATTTAAACGAACTTGAAACTGCTTCGTCCAGTGACCCGGAGTTGGTTCAGTTGAGAGAGTGTCTGGATCGTGGGGTACGGAATCACACATCTAGCGAGATCAAACCATATCACGCCTTTCGGAACGAGCTTGGCAAAGTAGGAGATTTGGTGGTCAGAGGGTCAAGGCTAGTAATTCCACGTTATCTGAGACAGCGCATGTTGCAATTGGGACATGAAGGTCATCCAGGCCGTACTAAGATGCAGCAACGATTGAGACATACATGTTGGTGGCCAGGAATGGACGAGGCTATAGCCCGCACTGTGGACTCATGCACAGGTTGTCAACTAGTGAGCCTGCCTGACCGCCCAGAACCTATGGAACAGAGAAAACTACCTGTCATGCCGTGGACGGACGTAGCTATTGATTTCTTGGGTCCGTTGCCGTCAGGAGATTATTTACTCGTGATCGTCGATTATTTCAGCCGCTACAAAGAAATTGAAATACTTCGGAAGATAACTGCAAGTGAGACGTCTGAGCGATTGGAACGATTTTTCGTTAGACTTGGATATCCTCAAACCATCACACTAGACAACGGCCGTCAATTTATAAGCACCGAGTTTGAAGAGTACTGTAAGCGTCGAGGGATATATCTTAATAAGACCACACCATACTGGCCGCAAGAGAACGGTTTCGTCGAGCGGCAGAATCGGTCACTGGTCAAAAGACTCAAAATCAGTCAGGCTTTGAAACGCGATTGGAAGCGCGAGATGCTCACTTATTTGTTGATGTACTACTCAACACCTCATAGTACCACGGGAAAGACCCCAAGCGAACTCATGTTTGGTAGAAATATTCGAACGAAGATACCTTCTCTGCAAGATATAAGCACCACTGTACCTGTTACCGACTATAGAGATCGAGATCAAGTTGCGAAGGAGAAAGGGAAAGAAAGGGAAGATGCACGACGTAAAGCGAAGCCGTCAAACATTGATGTTGGAGACAAGGTATTCATGAAGAATGTTCTCCAGGGTAATAAGCTGACACCAACATTCGATCCTACTGTTATGACAGTAGAAGCAAAACAGGGACCACGAGTAACAATTCGTAATCAGGAAACAGGAAAGGCTTACGATCGAAACTCTAGTCACCTGAAGAAAGTAAATCTTCCAGAAGATAGCGTTTCTGAGAAAAGTATATCGTTCAATTGTATTAGCTCTTATTGCAAATTTATTTCAATGTTACACATTACAGGTTGCACACTGACCATTACGGAGCCTTCAATGCCAGATAACTCAAAGGAACCGGAATACCCA